TTTTTTTTTTTTTTTTTTTTTTTTTTTTTTTTTTTTTTTTTTGCATTTGATTCTCGAAATCCATTTGACGATTTCCACTTTCAATGGATGAAAGGAGAAAGAGAATAGAGTAATAGATCTTTCATTGCACACAGGGAATCACTTTAGTACTGTTTTGTTTCCATGACCGTTCATTTTTGAAAGAGAATCTCACTTTATCCCTCAAGAAAAAGCTGAATGTACATTGTTTTTGATCTTAGTAGTCTTTCATGACACTATACAAACGAGTTCCATTCTGTTCCATTTTCCTCGTGATAGCCACAGTTCACTCATTACCATTGAAACTATTTTGCTTCAAAAGGTCTTCACACAAAAACAAACCCCATGTTGGAAATTTATCAAACATGAAAACTTCATCTGGTCAATTAGTGACGCCTGCTTCCAAAGCGATTGCTTACTGTTCGGGCATAAGCCACCACGGCTTTAGCCCATTTTCTGATTGCATCCTTCAATTTCTCTGAATCCATCTCTTTCAAAGACTTTCCATATTCCATTGGTAGCTCTGGGGATGAAAAACAGAGATCGAAAGATCGCCTGCGCTTTCTGGCGGCATCATGCCTGCCAGGGCGTTTGGCCTCCTCAGCCTTTGTTAGAGAGAAAGACTTCTTCACAGACATGGTATGTTTTCTTGGCTGCTCGTCTTGCAGCTAAGGATTTGGCACAACCTTAGAGACAAGTCTGGTTTGGGGTCATACTTATATGTCGGAGATGGCAACTAGGACAAGCAACAGATGCTGCACAAATGCGTCTTGTAAAGGCACTTTCGTTGACTTGAAACATTCAAAATATGTTGTTTCTTTGTAAAGAAGCTTTGGGTTTGCAAAGCTTGTTGGTTTGTTCTAGTAATGTCAGCTCTGTTTTACTGTCTAGAAAATCATCACGGTCTGGTGAAGTGATATGAGAAGTTACTGTTACATCAACATTATTACCAAAATGATTGGTACTTGATCTTTCTGAGGCGACCAGGTGAACTTTGGAAATTCAATTCTGACCATTTCTATTGAAAAGAAGATCAATTTTGCGCTTGTGCCTTTTTCTTTGACTATTGAAAAGTCTTAATTCTAAAACTTATATTGTTATTTTTTTTACATTAATTTTCAACTCGTTATAAAAGGGCAAATATTAGATTAATTTGTTAAAGATAAGGTACTGATAATCAAATAATTTGTGAAATTTTTGAATGGCCTTCTTAGATACATATATATACACTTTAAAAGCATATATACGGTGTGAGACCACATCAATTAGGGAGGATAACGAGGATATGAAAACCTTTTCCTAACAAACGCTTTTTAAAAATGTTGAGAGGAAGCCCAAAAGGGAAAGACCAAAGAAAATGATATCTTCTAGTGGTGGGATCATTACAAATGGTATCCAAATATTAGGCGATGTGCCAGTGAGAAGATTGAGCCTCAAAGGGGGTGGACACGAGGCGGGGTGCCAACAAGCACGCTGAGTTCCAAAGAGGGGGTGGATTGTGAGGTCCCACATTGGTTGGGGAGGAGAATAAAACACCCTTTATAAGGGTGTGACAACCTCAAAGGGGGTGGACACAAATCAGTGTGCCAACAAGCACGCTAAATCCCGAAAGGGGTGGATTGTGAGATCCTACATTGGTTGGAGAAGAGAACGAAACACCCTTTATAAGGCTGTGCAAAACTTCTCCTTAACACACATTTTAAAAACCTTGAGGGAAAGCCGGAAAAGAAAAGCTATCTACTAGTGGTGGTGGGCTTAGTCGGGCTTAGTCTAGGCTCCAAAAACAATACCACACCCATCCATCTTTACCATATTATGGTAGGCCTCTGGTAATTCAAACAAGGATGGCAAATTTGAATGCAGATCACATTCCCTCCAAGAGCTCACGAGATAGCAGAGAATCATAAAATTGCAAGAAAAAATTAGTGACAATATTGTTTACAAGCATTACAATGGGAATGGAAGTTAGACTTGTAGGACCAAAAAAGAAACTAAGTAAATATGAGATGATTCCAATCACCATCTTTACAACTCTGCTACTAGTTTTACATATATACAGAGCTACCAGAAACCAGGCCTCCTACTCCTCTCCTCCTACCCCTTCCTCTCTACAATATCAAAATGTCAAACAAATTGTACACTTAATGTTGAATGCTGCTCTAAATGTCTAAATCAGCACAAAACAACACACCTAACACCTAATTCATGGGACGCCTGCCTTATGTTAAGGCATGGTGTGATGGTCGGGTTAAACCGCTCACTGCTTCATTTATCCGACTAAACACTACTTTAAGGGGGATGCAAGTGATGACATGGTCGTTAGACTTCTGTACCATACGTTTCAGCTGATTTTGGTGTCGATTACCTGTCAGCGAAGATAGTTTGCGGATCTTCTTACATAAATGCCCGGTTTTTTTCATTCTCGGCGATTTGCTGGGCGAGAAACCAGGTTGTGATGGTGACTGTTTTGACTGTTTCGATTGAGTTCTCACCGGTGCAGTGTGCTTGACTGTTGCATAACGGTGTTCGTCGCCTTCCGGTTCAGTATCTGCTTGGCTCAACAAGGAATCGCAGTACCCATCATCCACAATTTCAACTGTGAGAGGATGACCAACTATGGCTTTACCATTCAATTTGCTCATCAGAGAAACCAATGGAACATGCTGAGGCCTATAGCTAGCTTTCACCTCAAGCTCAACATCGTATAATACCGAATTAGCTCCGTAGTTTCTAACGTAAAATTCTGGCATCTGATATCGAGAATGAATCGTAAAGCGGGACTGGCGAAAAGGAAGCAGTTTTTGAGGTACCAGAGAGTCATCAAGTAATTGTTTCGCCTCGGTTTTCGGTTCACTCGTATGAGGTTTCCTGTAAGATATTTGTTTACCCCATTCACAGAGTCCATCCATCTGACTTTCAGCAAATTTCTTGGACTTAGCTAGTAGGCTACAATTACTTGCAGATGGGGATATACCAACGCCATTGATATCTACTTTACCTGCCAAGCAAGAACCAGATGCATCATCCATATCTAGGGAAATTTTTGAATCTTGTTTTCGGTAGTTGCTTAAATGCCTCGACTTCCTCTTTCCTTTTAACTGCCACCTCGAAGTACCTCTCTCGATCTTTTGGTTAGTATTATCGTTACGAGTCGCAACCGAAGTTGTGGAGTCGGGTTCCTTCGTTGCCTCATTTTCCAAAGACCCGGTTGGATTACTTTGATCGGACGGCTTTCCTAAAGAACCGACCGTCGACCTACCAGATGAAGAGGGATTTGTAGGAGAAAGACCTAACAGTTGGGGAACAAAAATCAGTACGATATCATCCGAAAGCAAACTAAAAACTTTTCAATCTATGCCACAGAAGAACAGCTTGATAGAAAGCAATTGGAAAAGGAACAGGTTTGTATAACAAGGTCAAGAGAACCAAAAAGGTTTGTATAAATGAATGTCGTAGTTGCAGATAAATAACAGGAAGCACGAAACAGGAGGCAAGAAGAATCCATATAACAGTCCAAGCCTTACCGCTAGCAGATATTGTCCTCTTTGGGTTTTCCCTTTCGAGCTTCTCCTTAAGGTTTTAAAACGCGTCCACAAGGGAGAGGTTTCCACACCCTTATAAGGAATGTTTCGTTCCCTTCTCCAACCGATGTGGGATCTCACAATCTACCCCCTTGGGGGCCCAGCATCCTTGCTGCACACCGCTCGATGTTTGGCTCTGATACCATTTGTAACAGCCCAAGCCCACCACTAGCAGATATTGTCCTCTTTGGGTTTTCCCTTTCAAGCTTCCCCTCAAGGTTTTAAAACGCGTCTATTAGGGAGAGGTTTCCACACCCTTATAAAGAATGTTTCGTTCCGTTCTCCAACCAATGTGTGATCTCACAATCTACTTCCCTTATGGGCCAACGTCCTTGCTAGCACACCGCACGGTGTTGGCTTTGATACCGTTTGTAACAACCCAAGTTCATCACTAGCAAATGTTGTCCTCTTTGGGTTTTCCCTTTCGAGCTTCCCCTCAAGGTTTTAAAACGCATCCACTAGGGAGAAGTTTCCACACTTTTATAAGGAATGTTTCGTTCCCTTCTCCAACTGATATGTGATCTCACAATCCGATAAACAAAAATCAAGGCGGAGCAGAAATGTACATCAGCCAAAGACACTAATTTCATCAGTTAAACAACATAAAAGGAGAACCTACACATACTAGAGACAATGTATATCTTCAAAATTCATAATTTTACTTCAATCATACCGTCAACGTGCTTCTCCTCTGCAACAAACGGCACGTCAAATAGCTTGTCCAAAGAGTTATTCTCGGATATACTGGAGACTTCATTTTCCTTTGCCTTAGACATTTCAGAGGCAATTATCGATGCTTCATTGTCACAAGAAACTGCAGCGCCATTGCCATCTGAACTATTGATAGTTGCTAACGAACTACTTCTCTTTAACTCAGAATCTATTTCAGAAGTTTTACCATCAGATGTTCCCCATAGGGGTGAACTACATGTATTAGGAAGCTGATCGCAAATCACTGGAACCGATACCATTGCTGTGCTCTCCAAAACCTTCGTCAATGGCCGACGACGGTTTTTCTTTTTCAAGAATTCCTGTACAGTTGCTACTGGTGATCTCTTTCGTCTCAATGATGATGAATACATATGAATAATCTTCGGGGGATTTCGATTAGTTATACAATTCCCAGTATTCGCATCACAATGAGAAGTATCCTCTTGTTGAACTATTTCAGGCTGCTCTACAGCATGAGACTTCCCATTTGCCAATGAACCCATAACCAAATCTTCAAGTCCTCTCATACGCTTAACACCCTCCGTTCCATCGTCCTCCGAATCATTTGGTGTTCTCCTCCTATGTTCAGATAGCACCTTCGAGGCACTGGCGTGATTAAGTTCTTCCGAAGGGATATCTGAATGAGACATTTCAGGGGCAGAATCGGAGTTCACTTCAGAATTACTCTTTTTTGGACAAGCGTCTTCAGAATTACTAACGTCATCGGTCACGATAGCTTCTTCCTCTTCCTCTTCCTCTTCTTCTTCTTCGTTTTCTTCCTCTTCTTCTTCTTCTTCACAAGAATCAGATACAGGAGGAGATTCACTGGCTAAGACGTCACGCTCGCCATCTGATTCATTTTTCTGAGTCCTATAGCTGAAGTCCAACTGATCCTTGCCTAGAAGGGCACTCTCAAGCTCAAGAGCATGTAGAATCGCATCTTCTCTCCGGGCATATTTCACAGCCTTCTTACACGAGTTCGCTGCCGAAGCCTTTGCCTTCTCAATGCATTCATCGTATTCTCCACATCGGAATGCCTTCACCCTCTTAGATTTCTCAAGATTGTACCAGTCACTAAACCAACAAGAGTAAGAACATTGTCACAGAACAAAAAAATAACCTCCTACAGAAACGAAACAAGGCGCTAAAACTCGAAAACATAGAGAACAGGAAAAAACCAGTATAAAACGAAGAGGTCGACACAACTGCAAGGAAAAAACATGCTTTACGGAGACCAAATCAATAGCTATATGTCTCTAACAAGCATTTATGCTATCATTGTAAATAACCACAAATGTCAACGATGAACTTCAAAGAACAGCTAAGTAAGAACCACACAGATATTAAACATAATGCACAACCTTGCAGAACACGAAGGGTTAACCAGTAAACGCAATTACCAAATCAGTGAAGAACAGAACTTAAAATGAACAAATAACAAGAAGCAATTACATGCTTGCGTCTTCGCGACCAAGAAGTTTCACCGGCGTACCGGATCTCGGAGAAACCAAACAACTCTCCGACAATTCATCGAGGCCCAAAATCTTGCCTGGCCACCACGACCCATTTCGGCGGCGGACCCAAACCAACCCTCCAACCGATGAATCGATACCCTTGGCCTCGCTAGAACTCCCCATCTCCAAAACCCCCAGAACCCAAAAACCAGGGGAAAATTCCTCGAATGAACCCTTAGCTGTTCATCTTGAAGCCCAATCAACAGTAATTAAAACCGTCAAAAACCTCCCTCTCACCGAGAAATGCATACAACACTAACACAAAACAACCCCTGGCAGTAACGAGATTAAAGAGAAATGCATACTTGCATGCGCCAGATAGAAATAATCCGAAATTTAAGCTTCAAAGAAAAGGGTAGAGCAGTTGGAAGATGAGGATTAAAGGGTTTAAGGGAAAAACAAAGATCTACAACGAGCTCCAAAATTTAGGACTCTTTTTCAACATTACAACGAAATATTTCGGTGTTCTTTATATGATTTTTCTGTTGATATCATATGTTTATGGGGTTTTCTCTGAAGAAGCTTGTATGTGGTGTGAAGGGTGTCTAAGCCAGGCGTAAGAGAGATGGGAGCACGGATCAAAAACCAACCTTTTGGTGGGCGAAGAGAGGGGGTTTCTGTGAAGAGCGATAAAGAGTGGTGAGTAAATAATTCCTTTTTTTTTTTTTTTTTCTCTTTTAAATTCCTAATAAGAAAAGGGTTAAATAAAAACAAGGGCAACAAGGGTGTTTTTAGTTTATTTCCCCTCTTATTTTCCCTTTTTCTTCCGACCTTTTCCCCTCAGACACGAAACGATTCCCAATAATTTCCCTCTCAATCCATTATTTAGTTTTCTTTACCAAATCCTTCAGGGAAAGAGTTGAAGGGCTTCCTTATACTTGTGTGTTTGAGTAGTAATTTGTAGTTCTTCATTAGCACAGTGACAGTCATTGCATCATAGCGACGCCAGGAAGAGGAGTACGTCGAATCCAATTACAGCAGCCATGACTGGTGCGTAATTTTCCTTATCCGGTTACTTTCATTGAATTCACCTTAATGTTAAGGAAGTTTGGAAATCTTTTCTTCTCATCGATGTTTAAGTTTCGAGTTCTGGTAGTATTTTTCACTTGATCATATGAACATGTCTTATGGGTTTTAGCTATATTTACTCATCTGGCTAGTATTAGTATTCTGCTGTGTGGGTAAGTTAGTGATTTCCATTAGCTGCTGATGGCATGTTCTTCAAATTGTGAAAGTTCTTTGATGCTGGCTTCATGAACGAAGTTTCTTTTTCCTTTTGTTTTTTTTTGAACTTTTCTGTCATGGTCGATAGACTTAGTGGAATTGTCTTACGAAATGGGCTGTGGGCGAGAGAAGAAGTCTAGAAGTCACTATGATGATCACCAGCATAATGTGGGTGTGCTTGTATAACATACGATTCTCAATATGTCACGACTTGGTTTTCGAGGTTTTGAATCTCAAACCATAACGAAAAAGACAAGGAGAAGACAGATGGTAAATTTTGTGCGATTTGAAACAAACAACACCATAATAAAAGAAACAAATGAAATCTAATACAAACGGATGTTGTTCAAGTTTAATGTAAACAAGGAATGAGTTCAAGGTACTAAGTTCAAATAAATGCAAAAAGACTCAAAATACGTAGACAGAACTGACGCCCTAGGATGACTCCCTTTGTGATCGTGCTGCTCCCAAGCACTCCCTCACCTCAACTAGTGGTCAGCAGCCACTTGAAACAAAAAAAGAAAAGAAAAAAAAAAAGAAAAAAGAAGAATGGCGGAGTATAAAAATACTCAGTAAACAATCTACTTGTAGGCTCTCATCGTATCGTTATCCTAGTAGATTACCACGGGCTTTTCTCTAGGCTCTAGGAAGTTTGGTCATAATCTTTATAGTTATCTGAGCCTCTGGGGAGGCCTCGAAGTTTTGAGTGGTTCTCTTGTTTCATTCTTATCCTTTGGGGTTTGTGCAGGTTGAGCAACCTTTTTGTACTTAGACTGAGGTACCTTGTTTTGCCTAGGTAGTGAATGATTAGCATCCTAGGTTGAGGCTTTACCTAAATAAAATCTGGTAGGACAGTATGGCATCTACTAATGTGAACATCATTTGTGGAAGGTTAACTGACGGACTCTTCCACAAGGCCATAGAGTCATTCTAATTCTGGGGAAGCAACTTCCATGTGCTGGTCAGCTACTATGCCTACCTGTATGGTCCCTTGCCCCCTCTCTGGATGGGTTTACAACACTAAGGCTCTGTTCAGGAGACCCCTAGCCATTTCCTCATACGATAATGGCACCTAGTTGTCTCGACGCACTACCTGAACTGACCTAGGCCTATCTAGACGATACTGCTCCTATGGACCTATCGTTTGGCAGGGCGCTATTGGATCCAATGTAGATCGCTAATAACCCCATTGGGGTACTGGAGTGGTTAGGGTGACAGATACTTTGATGACACCGTTCACACTGCTAGTAGCTTGAAGAGCTACCTTAGTCATTCATGGTAGTCGAGGTTTACTAGGTTCTTAGAGCGTCTAGACAGCTTAAAACGTGAACTCCCTACTCCAAGACTCTCTGTACTAACTCCTTGAGTTTTCTTGGTTTGGGAGCACTAGGGTTTAGACCCTCAATTGCCGCTCACAATCCTAAAGTGCTTGGTTTATTGGAGGTGTCCTGTCCTAGGTCATCGTTTAACCAGCCTAACTTTAACGCCATAATCTTGACTCAATGCATGTAACTATGCTCTACATGGAGAACATTCAATCAATCACTTGAGACTATCCTACATTTTTATGCATGCTTGGTTAGGGAGATAATCCTAATAATCACCTAAAGCACGAAATATATTATCTAAACATTCTTGCAAGCTCAACGAGGAGCAAAAATCACAATAGCTCATCCTCCTTTCTTGCACAACGGAAAACACGAAAATGAGATACATCATAGAAATCTCATTATAGGGACATTTTCGTAATTTTTCATAACATACAATGTATTCTCATCCAAAATTGTCTTCATTAAGTCCTAATCATGCATATTCTAAACACATGAGGCGAGGTATGCTCGCATACTAACATGTCATAGTCATTCCTATAAGTGTTATTTGAGAAACTCCAAACGGCTACTTACATGGGTGAAGCGTGCCTTCTCGAGCTTGCTAGGAGCTTTGAATTTTCTTAGTTAGACAACGCAAGTTTGATCGCTTATGAACATACCTACCCATGAACCCTAAACCGTTCATGGACCTTAATTAAAATAAATCTACCAAGTGTCTTCTCTCCCAGCTTCCTTGTCATGGTTTGGCCAAATAATCTCCTAAAACAGAATGAACAATTTTCAGAAGTATTCCAACGTCTAAACGCTCGAATATACATAAAAATGATATTCTTGAACCCATAAATTATACATCCAATTCTTCCTCAAGGTGGTTCATAAGCCTAGAACTACAGAGAACATCATTTCGAGCAACTTCCATGAAGGATACTCTGCCAAAAAATGCTCCAAACATGCCGAATTCGAAAGTTGAAGATGGTTTTCCTACACTTTTTCTCCAAGAACTTCAACCTTCTCTCCTTTTTTTCCCTTTTTTTCTCTCTTTTCTTCCTTCCCTCTCAATTAAGTCTACATTAGGATAAATACATACCCCCTTAAATAGTGAGGGGCAGAAAAGACCGTTTTATCCCGTCGACCATTTTTTCTATTTTTTCACAACTTTCTTTAAATTTTTCTCGAGTTGCCGAGATTTTTATAAGCATTTTTCTCTCCTACCTTATCTCAAATTTCATACCTGTTGAGCTCGAGTATTACACAGTATCTACTGAATTGATATGTGTGTGCGCGCATGCTTATATAGTGGATTATATTTCGTCGGAATTTTTCATTGTGTCCCCCATTAAGTTCATCTATTTGCCTTCTATTCGGCTTGTAGACTATGCACAGGAGCAGGAGATGGAAATTGACGCATTGGAAGCTATACTTATGGATGAGTTCAAAGGTTTGTGGCACATTTTTCTTTTAAACTTCAAAGCTTTTTGCTACCTTTTCTTCCTTCTAACATGTCAGATACCCTTTTTTTATCTGTATTCCATATCAGAAATTCACTCAAGTGAGAGTGGCCTTTAACACTTCTGGTAGATGCTTTCTGATAACACTATCTCCACAGGTACGAGGTCTCTTTTTTCCACCTGTTCTACTTTGGTGCATGGTAAGCATCCTACTAAGTACTTATGGAAAGTGGATTCAGTTTAAGATTTAATTCAAACTCGAACCTTTGAAATGAGCGTTTTGAATTCCTTGAAGCAGTTCTTACAGCAAAATTTTAAATATTATGGTGAATCTCTTATAATGGCCCTTCCGAATTAAGCCTTGACCTTGCTCGTGTGGTATTGTCAAACAAAGCAAACTCACTGACTTGGCTCCCCAGTGCTAACGGGGTCTTTTCTACAAAATCCTTGATGATGGAAATGAGGGAAAAAGTAGAACCAATAAATCTCACGCTAGCAAAGACAATATGGAAAGGACATCAGCCTAAAAAGGTGAAGTTCTTCCTTTGGGAAATAGCGCATAAAGCCATTAACACAAGTGAAAATCTTCAAAAAAAGAATGTCTTGCATCACTCTTTCTCCAAATTGGTGTCCATTATGCAAGAAAGAAAACGAATCACAAAGCCACTTGTTTGTGCAATGCACATACGCTCAAAATTTCTGGACAACGATCCTCAATATATTCAGATGGCATCTCACATTTCCTAGGGAGGTAAAGTAATTTTTGGATATGTCCTTAACGTACCACCCTTTCAAGAATGCAAAAGCCCTATTATGAAAAAACCTCATCGTGTCTTTCTTTTGGAATATGTGGAAAGAAAGAAATCAAAGAATATTTGTAGAAAAGACACAGACCTACACGAAACTTTTCGACAATGTTGTTTACCAAGCTATATCTTGGTATAAACTGTCTAATATTTTTACTGCCTATTGTTATACCTCCCTCGTTGCAAATTGGGAAGGTCTTACGTTTGTTACCTTTGTCTTTTTTAATAGGAGGATGAGACAGATGAATCAACACCTATGCCAGGTTATTCTTACCTAACCTTCCTTGCTATTAGATACGCCTAGAGGAGGTTAATTATTTTCTTACTGTTCTAACTATTTTCTTCTGTGCAGTTCAGCTGGGTTTGATTTTCTCGCATACAGAGAAATATCCTGATGAACCT